TATCCAAGTGGTCTGTAGCATACTACAATTACAATATTGCATCGATTTTTGTCTATCTCAGTCTTTATTCAAACACCTCACCAGGCTTCCTGAGTTCCTTCATACAACTTCTTAACCTAGTTTGTTACTGCCTTCGAGAAATCCTGGTTTTTTTGCACCTACGGTACAATAAGTGCAATACGGAGGTAAGCAAAGTGCTAACGCAGAATATGAGGCAAGTTGTTACTGATTTAGGGGAGGTTTTATGGAAAGGTAAGACCTTTGAGTAAGCTTTTAAAAGTGGGGGGTCAGAATTCAAAATGAAACAGCAGGATCTGGGGAGAAGAGCTTTTCTAAGCATAGGGAACAGTGTGAGCAAAGGCATGAAGGGAGTAAGACATAGAATGTGTATAAAAGTGAGTAGAATGAGGCAAGGCGGTTCCACTTCTGGGAGCCAAGATGGCAGAGTAAGAAGTAAGTCACTGTCATTCTCCCTTATTATCCTTTGGAAGCCCAGAAAATATTGCCCCAGAAAAAACTCTGGAACAGCTGAACCAGTAGAAAGATGGGGTGCAGCAGTCTGGTAGCCCAGGAAGCTTGAGGGATTAACAGGAAAGGCCCCTCTTGCTCTGGCATAAGGGGAGCAGTACAGAACGGGAGGCATCCCAGCAAGCTAGCAGAAAGCCCCACCTAGTATACCAGGGGGAGATCCTGAACTCCAGGTGGTGGAGAAGGTAAGCACCAACACCAGGACCTCAGTACAGTCAGGGGAACCAGTGAACACCAGCTCAGAAAACCAGCACACGCCAGGGCGTTTTCTAGCAGCCAAGTCTCCCAGAGCCTCAGCAAAACTCTGGGAAGCACAGCTTCAAGGGGGAAAACCCTGGGTGGAGAAACATCCTGCAGCAGCGAAATATCCATCTGCAAAGAGCCAAAGAAAATGAAAGGAAAGGACTGGGTGAGCAGGCAACCTCCAGGGGCCCAACTACCCAACTCTACCCCTTGAGCTACAGTGTTGCTGATTCCAGCTCAACACCAGCTAAGCTTCCAGAACCCTACAGCTTCCAAACACCAGCATTGGAGGCTCCAGCAAACAAAGCCAGTGACCAGGCCCCAGTCTCCCAGCACAAGAACCTTCGGTTAGTGGCCCCTGCTCCCCAGCAGGAGAGCTCAATCTTTTTAAAGGCCAGGAAATAAGCTAACACCATGAGCAAAAAGAAACATACTATAGATTCTTATAATGAGAACAGTGAATATCAAGGCAGAAATTCTGAAGAAAACAGCATTGTCAACAAACCCACATCTGGAACCTCAAAAGGGAGCATGAACTGGTCTGAAGCCCAAAAAGCCTTCTTGGAAGAACTCAAGAAAGATTTTAAAAGTCAAATAAGAGAGGTAGAGGACAAATTGGGGGAAAAAATGAGAGGTATGTAAGAGAGAGTCAATAGCTTGGAAAAGGAAGGACAAAAATTAACTAAAGAAAACAAATCCTTAAAAAGCAGAATTGTCCAAACAGAATATGAGGCACAAAAACTCACTGAGGAGAAGAGTTCCTTAAAAAATAAAATGGGCCAAATGGAAAAGGAGGTACAAAATCTAATAGAAGAAAACAATTTGTTAAAAATTAGAATTGGGCAAATGGAAGCTAATGACTCTATGAGAGATAGAGAATCAGTCAAAGAGAAACAAAAGAATGAAAAAAAAGATGAAAAAGTAAAATACCTCATTGGTAAAACAACTGACCTGGAAAATAGATCCAGAAGAGACAATTTAAAAATTATTGGTGTATCTGAAAATCACAATGGGAAAAAGAGCCTGGACAGTATCTTTCAGGAAATCATGAAGGAAAACTGCCCTGAGGTTCTAGAACCAGAGGGTAAAATAGCGATAGAAAGAGATACTCCTGAAAGAGAGACCTCCTGAAAGAGATCCCAAATTGAAAATCTCAAGGAACATAGCAGCCAAATTCCAAAATTACCAGGTCAAAGAGAAAATACTGCAAGCATCCAAAAAGAAACAATTTAAGTATCATGGAACCACAGTCAGGATTACACAGGACCTTTGTAGCTTCTACACTAAAAGACTGGAGGGCTTGGAATATGATATTTCATAAGGCAAAGGAGCCTGGATTACAACTAAGGATCAACTACCCAGAGAAAATAAGCATAATGTTTCAGGGGAGGAGATGGACATTCAACGAAATGGGGGATTTCTAAACCCTCCTGACAAAAAGACCAGAGCTCCACAGAAAATTTGATCTTCAAATACAAGACTCAAGGTAAACAGGAAAGGGAAAAAAACCACACAAAAACACATGTTATTAATAAGGGCAAACTGTTTACATCCCTAGGAAGGAAGATGACACTTGTAACTCTTGAGAACTGTACTGTTATTGCACTATTTTAAAGGGGTATACGCAGAGGGGGTGGGTATAATTTGACTTTGATGTAATGCTAAAAAAAATCTAATCAAGTGGGTTAAATGGATCTAAGTAAGTGGATTGATCTGATCTAACTAAGGGAATATAATGGGAGAAAAGGCAAGGAGGAGGCAGACAAGGGTAAATTATATTACAGGGAAAGGCACAAAAACCTATTACAGCAGAGGAAAAGAAGAGAGGCAGATGAGTATTGTTTGAACCTTACTCTTATTAACATAATCAATTAGGTATAGAAATCTAACTTGCCCTATAGGCAGTAGGAGGGAAAAGGGAAAAGAGACAAGACTAGAAAGGTCAGGTAGTACCAGGCTGTGGGGGAGGGGTATCTTGAAAGTCTAGCTATAGAATCTGGATTATCACTTCACAGTGACAAGGCTACCCAAATCTTTGAATGTTTTTCCATACAAATAGGCTATAATTCAGGGCGTGGGGAATCTGTGCCTTCCAGGCCACATGTGGCCTTCTAGGTCCTTGGATGCAGCCTTTTGACTGAGTCCAAGTTTTGCAGAACAAATCATTTTATTAAGGGGATTGGTTCTGTAAAGTTTAGATTCAGTCAAAGAGTCACAACTGAGGATCTAGAGGGTCACGTGTGGCCTTAAGGCCTCAGGTTCCCCACGCCAGGCTATATCCAGATGGGCAAAAGACTGCATTGCTCCAAACTGCGTTACCTTATTTCTGCATGCAACTTGCATATAAAATGAAATTAAAGTTTATGTAAGGTCCTTGAGGATAACAGAACTTTAGTTCAATAGAATCCTCAAGGGCCATTCCATTGGATCACTTTAAGGGTGAAACCACCTTATAAAGTTCCTTTTGGTATTCCAGTAATACGTTTGAATTTGTTGTACATGTTCTGACCATATTACTGATTCTACTCTATAGCAAACAGTTTACCAGTGAGGTTCTAACTTAATAAGAAACTTAGGGGCAGCTAGGTGGTGCAGTGGATAGAGCACTGGCCATGAAGTTAGGAGGATCTGAGTTCAAATAGGGCCTCAGACCAAACACTTAACACTTACTAGCTGTGTGACCCTGGGCAAGTCACTTAACCCCAATTGCCCCCCTCAAAAAAAAAGAAACTCAGAATTTTGTTTTTCTAAAACACTCAGGTAGTGTTTGAGAATTCCAGAAATGAACAGAGCACATAACTGTTATTCAAATAGAAGATGCTCCAGAAGAATTTAGGGAGATACATTCAAGACATAAGCTCCTAGATAAGGAGCAGTAGCTTTTTTTGTTTTGTTTTGTTTTTGTTTTTATCTTAGTATCCCCCAGTGCCTTGTATCTATGGGGTACTTAGTAAACAATAGTAGAATCATATTGAATTATCTTAATTACAAGAGGATTATTTGCCCTGAAAGATAGACATTGAGAGCAAGACATCTAAGTACTTAACAGGTTAATAGTTCCCTAACCAAAATAGCACCTTATTTTTATATCATTAAAAACAAATCTAAAGAGACTGATCTGTTAACAAATTAGAATTACTGAAAGGTAGACAGTTTGTTGGGTCTTTAATACTGCAATGGCTCATTTAGTCTTTAGGTCTCACAAAAAGCAAGAGTAACTTCTGACACTTTTCTGCATTACTGAGAGGCAATCTTAAGTACAGATCCATCAATAACAAAGGTGAACTCAGGGAAGAAAGGAGGGCAAGAATATCCTCCTCCTCTTCCTCCTCCTCCTCCTCAGTTATATGACCTAATATTGACAGACGTGACTGTGAACCTATGAATGCCTGACAGAGTAACCTGCATACAACAGGTGTTCAGTAAATGTTTGCTGAATGAAAGAACAAACAAGCTCAAAAGAAAATTCTGGTTGTACTGCTGAAGAGTGACATGACCCCTATTTTACCTAATAAAGGGCTGAAAATACCTAGGCCTCCCCCCAAAAATGCAAAGATCCTTTAAGTGGTTTAACTTAACTTCAATAAGATTAGAGTACTATTATTAGGCCAGAAACTTATACATTTCTCTTTAAACTGTAAAAGCTTTTCCCAGTGTTTTTTTATTTTATATTTTTAATACTGAGGACAATTTATTTTCCATGTGTGATAAAATATATATTCAGGATACTATAATGCAAATCAGTGAAAATCATTTTACTTTCAAAATTTTAACTCATGTATAATTTTTTCAGGAACATATTTTCATAATGTAAAATAAATTCAGGACCTTATCCAAGAATTCTGTACTGACAGAAATAGAAATAGTTATGGGGCATATATGGTGGAAGAGGGGTAAAGCATTCTAGCTAAGACTTAATTTTTAACTTTGAGTGGTAAGCCCTAAAACACCTGGGCTACCAAGGAGATGGAATGCAACACTTCCACCATTATTCTAAGGTCTCTTGAATATACAGAAAGCATTTTTACTTTGGTTGGTCCAATTCGATATGATGACATACAAATGGCATATTACTAGCAAACAGTGACATGTACCTCTTTAAACTCCTGAAATCAAATTCTCCCAAATGGAACAAATTCCCCTAGTCAAAGAGCTTAAACTTAAAGAGACAAAAATCCATTGGAAGTTATTTTTTAAAACTGCTTTTGCTCTAGAAAATAGACACCTACCTTTTCTAGTGCATAATTCATCCATTCTGGAAGGGCTTCTATATTCATGTGCCATACATTACAAGTATTCTGAGGTATAGCAGCTAAATCATGACCATTCTGCTAAACAGAGAAGCATGAGATTAGTTTAATATTTATTTAGTTCATTAGTTATACATTCGAGTTAAGTACCAAGTACATTCCAATTCAGCAGGGGAAACATATACTCTACTCTGTGTTCACCCTTCCCCCCATCCAAAACCAAAACAAACCAAAAAGAAAACTCAGCAAACAAAAAAGCATTTCAGGAAGCATCTATTTGCTTAAAGTGGGGATCTAGCTCTCTGTTTCCATGGACTCATGAATTAAAAATGCATGGTTTAGCAGTAAGTTACCTAGTGTTTTCCTTTTGTTATTAAGTTCTTCACAAGATTTTCTTGACCTCCTGCCTTTGACTAGCCTCAAAGTGACTGAGCATATAAATTCATTCTTTTATTATCTCTTTGTCATGTTTTAAGACAAAAAAAATCTTGACCACAGTAACTGAGATTTTGTGAAAATTTTGGCAAAACTGATTATTGTTCTAATAATTTATATGAAATATTGGCAAGATATCATACCTAACACATCTATTGTGAAGAATACAGTGTCATCTAGTATGAAGATAAAAAACTCTGAGTATAATATGCCTAGAGGGAAAAAATGATTTTGAGCCTACAATCAGTTGAAATTAAAAAAAAAATAATAATAAACTCATGACTGTCTTCCCTATTGGTCAATCTGATAGGCAGAAACTATGATGAAGAGCTAGAGATGCTGTTTTGAGCAGAATTTTCAGACTTGCTGAATATTAGCCCCAATGGAAGACAATACGCAACACAGTATCTTAAATACTCTGAGCAAAAAACACTCTGCCCAAGTCTTAGGACACTAAAACAAGATAAGTGTGTTCTGATATCCAGGAGCTTACAGTTCTAAAGGAAAGGCATAAAATTCCTTATTTGAGAGTTCCATTATTTTGTAGGATTGTTAACTGTTAGAGGCAGAAGAATCCTGAGTTCATCTAAACTTGACATTTTATAAATGAAGAAAACATGTCAAAGGAAGTAAAGGGACTCATCCAAAGTTGCAAAGATAGTAGTAAAGCTACACAGGTGGTGGTAAAGCTGGGATCACAATTACTAAACTAATTAGATGAACACAAGATTAAATATGAGATCTACTCAGGCATGACTGGCTCTGGTAAAGTTTATCAACCAACAAAGTAGGCACTATGCTAGGCATGGAGTATACAGAGACAAAAATGAAGTAAGCTGCTAACATTCCATGGGGAATGGGATGGGTTGACAATATCTTCATACATAGGCATATACAAAATAGAGACAAAATAATTTTGGCAGAGAGAATACTAGCAGCTGGTAGATAATGCTTCATGTTGAAGGATGTGCTTAAGTCTTACAGAAAACTTAAAATTATAATATGCCTCCATATTGAACCATATTTTTTTACAAAGCAAAGGAATTTTATTGCTACCTTAGCTGAAATTATAATTAGCTCTTGCTTTTTTAGAATCATTTGAAACAAGTTAGATTTTCACTCTGTTGGTGTTTAAGATTTGGTTTTTTTTTTTTTTTGGTAGGTAGCAAATGAAGTAGAAGGGCTCTCTAACTCAAGTCTAGGGAGGGAGCCCAATCCTATTCTTTGTCGTTTCTCCAATTGTTTGTCTCTGTTGGTGATGTAATACTTTCTCTTTGAACTTTGTTTTCCCTGTTATATTATTTTTTGAGTGATAAGCAATCCTTTCCCCCCAAAAAAACCATACTGAAAGTTTTTCTTTTATTTCTTGTAAAATAGAAGTAATCCTGTTATTGTGATTGATTATTCCTGGAGTGTTAAAAGTTTCTTTTACCTTGTGATCTGTAAAATGTTTTTACATAATAATTCTGAAGTTTGAGTTATTATGTTTCTTATTAAACATGGGTTTTTCACTCTGTTGGTGTTCTATAGATTACCTTGACATGTACTCTGCAATTCGTTTCCAATTTTTTTTTTAGGCATTTGGGGTTAAGAGACTTGCCCAGGTCACACAGCTAGTAAGTGTCAAGTGTTTGGTCTGAGGCTGGATTTGAACTCAGGTCCTCCTGACTTCAGGGCCAGTACTCTATCCACTGCGCTACCTAGCTGCCCCTGTTTCCAATATTTCTACATGATTTTTCTTAATTTCCTGAAGTAAAGTATTCAAGCTTTCTTTTTCCTGATTTTTTTTCCTCCTGGAAGACCTACAATACTTATCTCTTCATATGCTATATTCAAGGTCAGTATTTTTGTTTCATAGAAGTCTCAGATGTCTTTTAATTTTAATTCTTTCCAATTATTATCTTTCTATGTGTGTATATTTGAGTTTCAATCCTGTTATTGTCTCTTCCAGAGAGTCTGCTGTTAGGGAGAGTGTCTGTCTTTTGACCACAGAATTATAGAATTTTAATATTGGAAGGGACCTCCGAAGTCATCTATTCAAATCTATAGAAGTAATCATCCAGCCTCCAAGGAAGTGAAACCTACCACTTCTCAAGATGTGTCATTTCACTTTGAGACAACTTTGCTGGGAAGTTTTTCCTGCTTTGCAACTTCTACGTATCACTTATGGTTTTGTCTTCTGTGACTGAAAAGAACCAGTCTAATTCCTCCTCCAAATGACAAGCCTTTAAATGCTTAAACACAATCATCATGACTTCCGTGGATATTCTTTTCTTAAGGCTAAACATGTCCAGTTCCCTCAACCCATTCTCACATCATGGAATCAAGGCCATACACCTTCCTGCTTATCTTCTCTAAACAATCTACAATTTATTAATGTCTTTAAACTTAGATGCCTAGAACTGAATGAAATACTCCATAGCATTTGGGGATTATCAGTTCCCTATTCCTGGAAGATATGTCTCTTTTAAAGTGGCTCAAGAGCCCCTTATGTTTGTGGCTGCCACCTTACACTGTTGATTCCTTTTGAGCATACAGTCCACTAAAACCTTAAGATCCTTTTCAGAATAACTACTATCTAACTAGACCTTTCCCTTCTTATATTTGTAAAGTATTTTTGTGCTGAAGTGAAAAACTTTTCATTTATACCTACTGAATATCATCTTATTCTATTAAGCCCTAAATTCTAACCTGCAAGATCTTTTTTGCATCCTAACTCTGTTATTCAGTATGTTAGCAATCCCTCTCTGCTTTCTGTCACTTGCAAATTTGATCAGCATGCCATCTGCTTTTATCCAAGTCATTGACAAAAGTGTTAAACAGCACATTACCAAACACAGATCCCTGGGGCATTCCACAGGAGATGTCCAACCATTAACAGCTACCCCCCAAATTGATTCCATTAAAAAGAGATATTGGGAGGACTTGTGGGAGCCACGATGATGGAGAGTCTTGGAGAAAGTCTCAAATATATAGATAACGGAGTCAAATTTATGAGACTACAAGCCATTCTTCACTGGAAAAATGGTCAAAGGATATGAACAGGCAATTTTCAGATGAAGAAATCAAAGATATCTATAGGCACATGAAGAAGTGATCTAAATCACTTTTGATTAGAGAAATGCAGATTAAAACAATGCTGAAATACCACCTCATACCAAATCAGATTGGCTAATATGACAAAAAAGGAAAATGATAAATGTTGGAGAGGATGTAGGAAAATCGGGACACTAATGCAATGTAACTGGAGGTGTGAACTGATGCAACCACTCTGGAGAGCAATTTGGAACTATGCCCAAAGGGCCACCAAAGTGTGCATACCCTTTGATCCAGCAATACCACTACTAGATCTGTAACCAAAAGAGATCATAAGAAAGAGAAAAGGACTTAGATGTGTAAAAACAGTTATAGCAACCCTCTTCATGGTAGCAAAATATTGAAAACTAAGGGGATGCCCATCAACTGGAGAGTGGTTGAACAAGCTGTGGCATATGAATGTAATGGAATACTACTGTGCAATAAGAAATGATAAACAGGCAAATTTCAGAAAAGCCTAGAAAAACCTGTACAAACTGATGCAAAGTGAAATGAGTAGAACAAGGAGAACCAGAACCAAATGTCTACATTGTAGACAGTATCAGCAACACTATGTGATTATCAACTATGAATGACTCAGGTCTTCTCAATATAATGATCCAAGACAAGTACAAAAGACTCACAAAAGAAAATACTATCCATATCCAGGTAAAGAACTAATGGACTCAGGACACAGATTGAAGCACATTTTTTTTTCACTTTATTCATTCTCATGGTTTTATTTCCTTTTGACCTATTTTTTCTTCCACAACTCTGACAAACATGGAAATGTTTTACATGATAACACATGTATAAACTACATCAAACTGCCTACCATTTTCAGAAGAAGGGAGGAGAGGGAGGGAGGAAGGAAGGGAGAAAAATTTGGAATTCACAATCTTGTAAAAATGAATGCTAAAAATTTTCTTGATATGTAATTGGGGAAAAAATACTAAATACAAAAATAACAACCATTCCCCAAGTCTGGCCATCCAACTAATTTTGAATTCATCTGATTGTATTATCATTAAATCAAAATCTCTCCATCCTCTTCACAAAAAAAGTCTGAGATACTTTAACAAAAGCTTTGCCAAAATCTAGGTAAATTATATGTATAGCATTGCCCTCATCTACTCGTCTAGTAATACTGTCAAAGGAATTAGTTTGTCATGACTTGTTATTGATGAAGCAACACTAGCTTTTTGTGATCACTGCTTCCTTTTCAAGATATTCAACAACCACCTTTTTAAAGAGCTTTCAGAATTTTCCCAGGAATAGAAATCAAACCCACTGACCTAAAGTTTGCAAACTATGTTCTCTCTGTTTTGAAAATTGCCCTTCTCAAATTCTGTGGTACTGCTCCTGTTTTCCATTATCATTCAAATATCACTGACAGCAACTCTGCAATTACATCTGCCAGTTCTTTTAGGACCCAAGGTTGTAGCTGATCTGGGCTAGGTGACTTGAATTCATCCAGGGCAGCTAGGTGTTCCTTTACTACTGTCTTACTTATCTTGGATATGAAACCCCTGGTTAGTTGCTTTTGTTGCCATTTCCATTGTAAAATATGT